ATGTTAGGTGTTATAGACTTGTGAATATTGGCGCTATTCCAATGAGGTGGAGGATGTTGGTGTAGTGCACCCCGAACATTGAAAATTACGATTTCCCGCACAAAGGAATGGCGTTACTGTAGATGAACGGGGAGGTGGCGATGGGACGAGGCTCGCTTTACTGTGCCCTGGGACTAGACAGCGCGCTGAGGGGTTCCCAGCAGGGGGTCGTATTCGGTTGCTGTTGAAGGAGGTGTATCTGACCTGTTGTACCCCTAGTCGCTAGCAGAACTTACGTCCCATGGAGCTACCATTTTGATAGGTAACTGTGATAGTTGTACGGTAGAGGTTTTCTCTCTCGCTCGACGACACAATTTTCGGGCAAAACTGGAAAATTCGAAGGAAAAATCAGCAGCATTGTGAGTAGGGGGGCGTACCAGAGCAAAATTGGAGGTGGGGGGGGTATTCTCCAGAAGTCTTCCCCAACAACAACATTGGCCGTGTTCGGAGGGAAGAATCACTCAGTTCCGTTGTCCCATGCCCCCCACCTGGCACTCTACCCTTCAAAATGCAGCATCGTTTGAGAAAAATTCGTCAGGGGAGGGCAGTTTGATATCTGGGAGAGGAGGTTGTATTTGGCACTGGGAGGGATTTTTCGGAGCTACGAAAGAAATTTCTCGATGAGTGGTTCAGAACCCCCGTATAACCTATGCTATACCCCTCCTCCCTCCCTAAATTGGTGGCGTGATAAAAATCCTATGTAATCGCTAGTTTAAAAATAGTTGATTGAGAAAACTCGCTCCAATAGAAGTATCGGAGAATTCGGTAAAATTTACATGGTATCTTGGAGAAGCGAGTTGGAATAGTGAAGAGAAACGGTACGTAAATTCCGTTTAGAGGGGTCGTACTCGAAGAGGAAATTCGGTTGGTCTTCCTCTTGAAAGAATTGGGTGGTCACAATGACCTATCGCAATACTGTGTCCTGCTCCCTTTCGGAAGGGATGATTCACCCCTCCCACCCCGCCTCCAGCTCCAGAACCCATTTCATTACCTTTGACCAAAATTCATTGTCCCTTCTGGCTCGCTCAGCTCCATCAGTAGGTAGCCCATCTCAATGGAATAGACCGAAACACACTATCTGAGGGTTCCTAACTAGTACGTCTAACAGGAGCGCTTTAGATTTAGGGGTGGAATAAATAGTCTCGAACTAATACCCCTAGTTACAGCCCTTATCCCAGAGATTGGGAAGGCGTGGCTGCGTACGTTGGTTTAACATGGTGGCGGCTGCGCTTAGCTGGTGGCATGTTTTCGTTCTGTGGCAACTGTAATCATGCTTCTTCCAGCACATGACAGTTATCAGGATGATAGTTGTCTCAAATAAACATTCCTCACGAAAAAAGCATCGTGCGCCATGTTCGGATGGAGCGCGCGGCCACGCCCTTCCTATTTCCGTGACATGAAGGCATAAAGGATTAAATAAGGGTTACTTTTGAAATCTGTTAGTTGAATAACGTTATTTCTTGGCACCGCCGAAATCATTGACAAGTGGTGAGTCACT